ATAAGAGCAAAACTCCGTCTCAGAAAACAAACAAGCAAACAAAAACCTGTAAATAAACATTGAGGTATAGTTGATGTGCATGCTGAAATGTTTACGGAAGAGAGTATCAATGTCTGCAAGTTACTCTGAAATTCATCCAAAAAAAGATTAATTAATGGGTGCACGGGGGCTGGATAGATGCATAACAAAGCAAACCATGTGAAGTGCTAAGGATAGAATTAAGGATTGCAAGCATTCACTATAAAATTCTTTCAACTTGGCTATATATATAAAATTACGTAATACAATTTGATATAAGAGGATATTATGATTACTAGTATGCCAACAAATTTGACAGTTCGAATGGAAAATGGACAATTTTCTCAAATTTTTAACTTATTAATATAATGGTTTAAAATAGTTCGCAAATTCTTTGACACTCGTTTAAACTGTGTAGCTTAATTCCTTTCTCTGTGGGTATGGGAACTTAATGACTTCCTTCTAGTGAATAGTGAAAAGCAGAAATAGCAGTTGCAACTTCCGAGATTAGGTCATGCAAGGCACTGTCGCTTCCTGTTTGCTTTCTCTCTTGGATCATCTGCTCTAGGAAAACCAGCACCCATGTCACCCTAAGGAGAGGCCTATGCAGTAAGGAACTGAGGTCTACTGCTAACACTCAACAAGAAACTGAGACTCCCAGCCAGTAACCACTCAGTGAGTATGGAAGCAGATCCTGCAGCTAGTCAATCCCTTAGATGTCTGCAGCCCCAGTCAACACCTTCACTAGACCCTGAGCCAGAACAGCCTAGCTAAGCCCCTCCCAAATTTCTGATCTATACAATATTTGAGATAATAACTTTTTTGTTTTAATCCCTACATTTTGGGGTAATTTTTTATGCAACAATAAAAAACTAGTGCATTTAAGCTGTGATAAGAGAAACTAGAAAATTTGATTAATCAGGTCGGGCGTGGTGGCTCACACCCGTAATCCCAGCACTTTGGGAGGCTGAGGCAGGGGGATCACCTGAGGTCAGGAGTTCCAGACCAGCCTGGTCAACATGGTGAAACCCCATCTCTACTAAAAACACAAAACTTAGCTGGGCATGGTGGCACACGCCTATAATCCAGCTACTCCAGAAGCTGAGGTGGGAGAATCACTTGAACCTGGGAGGCAGAGGTTGCAGTGAGCCGAGATCGCGCCATTGCACTCCAGCCTGGGCAACAGGGTGAGACTTCGTATATCATATAAAAAAAAAATAAAATAAAGTAAAAGTTAAAAAAAGAAAATCTGAACAGTCAAATATTGACTAAGGAAATTAAATCCATTACTAAAACTCCACACAAAGAAAAGCCCAAGACTGGATGGTTTCACCTGCAAATTCTTCCAAATATTTAGTGAAGAAATAATACCAATATTGCACAAACTCTTACAAGAGGAAGCAGATAAAGAAGAAAGACTTCCTGACTCTTTTGGTATGGCCAGCATAACCTGCCAAAGACCTTATTAAGAAGGAAAATTAAATCAAGTTCTTTCTCCTTTTAAAATAGAAATGTAAAAATCCTTAACAAAATATTAGCAAACTGAAACCAAGTGAGATTTACTTCACAGATGCAAGAGTAATTTAACATTCAAAAATTGATCAATACATTTCATCACAATAATACACATAAAGTTAAAAATCATATGAGCATCTCAAAGTATGCAAGAAATATATTTTTTAAAATGCAATATTCATTCATATCAAACACACTTAGCAAGCTAGGAATAAAGGAGAACTTCTTTAATGTGAAAAAGAATGCCTACCAATAAAAAAAAAAAGGAAAAAAACCTACAATGAACATCCTGCTCAATAATAACACTGAAAACTTTCCCTCTGAGAGAAGGAACAAGGCAGGGATACCCATTATCACTACTCATATTCAATATTATACTGGATGGCCTAACCAGTGTAATAGGGCAAGAAAATAAATAAAAGGCATGAAAATGAAAGAAAGAAAGAAAGAAAGAAAGAAAGAGAGAGAGAGAGAGAGAGAAAGAAAGAAAGAAAGAAAGAAAGAAAACTGATTTTTCATAAATGATATGGTTGTATAGATTTTTAAAAATCTAAATTAATCTACAAACTATTAGAATCAATAAATGAATTCAATAAGATTGACATACACAAGATCAGTGTACAAAAATCAGTTGTATTTCCATATATGAGCAACAAACAATTAGAAAATAAATTTTCTAAAAAATACATGGTTAGCAATAGCATCAAGAAGCATCAAATACCTAGGAATAAATCCAATGATAGATGTGTAAAACACCCACACTTAAGACCAAAAGTTGCTATGCACAGAAAGAAGTCTTTATGATTTATTTATTTATTTGTTTGTTTTGAGACAGAGTTTCACTCTTGCTGCCCAGGCGGGATTGCAGTGGCACGATCTCAGCTCACTGCAACCTCCGCCTCCCGGGTTCAAGCGATTCCTCTGCCTCAGCCTCCCAAGTAGCTGGGATTACAGGTGCCTGCCACCACATTCAGCTAATGTTTTGTATTTTTAGTAGAGATGGGGTTTAATCATGTTGGCCAGGCTGGTCTCGAACTCCTGACCTCAGGTGATCCACCTGCCTCAGCCTCCCAAAATGTTGGAATTACAGGTGTGAGTCACCGTGCCCAGCTTCAGAAATAAGTCTTAAACAAATGGAAGGATATACCATGTTCATAGATTTGAAAACTAAATGCTATAAAGAGGGCAATGTTTCCCAAATTAAACTGTAAATTAAAGTCACAATCAAAAAATTCTAGTGGGTGTTTTTCCTGCTGAAATTCAAAAACTGATTGTAAAATTCATGTAGAAATGCAAAAGATCAAAAATAACCAGAGCAATCCGGAAGAACAATAAAACTGGAAGATCTACACTACGGGTGCCAAGACCTGTTATAAAGCTATACTAGCTAAGATAGTGCAGTGTGGGGGAAAAAAAAAAAAAAAGACAAATTGTCAGCTGGAACAGAGTCACCTGATTTATGACCATGACAACACTGCACTGCAATGAGAAAAGACTGGTCTTACAATAAATGGTGCTGAGTCAGTTGGATAGCCATATGGAAAATAATATTTCTTGACCTCTATCTCATACCACATGTTACAAAAAATTATAGATGAACTGCAGACTCAAATGAGAAACATAACACAAAAATATTTTGGAGAAGACGTCAGAAACATTTTTCAAGACATTGTAATTAATAACCAATGGTTCGTTAAACAGAATACATATAGCACTATCCATAGAAAAAAAAAATTATACATGGACTGTATTAAAATTAGAACTTCTGGTCATCAAAAGACACCATTAAGAGAATGAAAAGGCAACCAGTGGAGTGGAAGAAGATATAAATAAAACATGTTGCTAGCAATGGTTTCATATCCAGAATATTTGAAAAAGTACTACAAATCAATAAGCAAAAGATAGACAACCCAACATTAAAGAAGGCAAAAGACTCAAACATACACTCACAAAAGAAAATATCCAAACGGCCAAAGTAACCAACTTCATTAGTCGACAGAGATATTCAAGTTAAAACCACAGTGTACTACTACTACACACCTTCCAAAATGGCTTTAATAATTTTTTAATTCCAAAGGTGTAATGTCAAGGATGTGCAGCAACTAGGATTTTCATAAGCTGTTGGTGAAAGTGTAAACTGATACAACCTCTTGAAAAACTATAGAGATAAACATATGTATAGTATTACGACCTAGCAATTCCACCCCTCACTATGTACCCAACATAAATGCATACATATATTCACCAGGAGACACATATTAGAATGTTCACAGCAACAGTATCTTCTAACATCCTGAACCTGAAACCCCAAATATCTGTCAGCTTATGAATGGATAAACAAATTGCTATATATCTACCCAGAGGAAATGCATTTCTGGTACATACAACAACATGGTGAATCTCAAAAATACGCTGAGCAGAGAATCCAGACACATAAACACATGCACATGATTCCATTTACATAACGTATAAAAAGGCAAAACTAATCAATTAGAAGTGTATAGGCCGGGCGCGGTGGCTCAAGCCTGTAATCCCAGCACTTTGCGAGGCCGAGACGGGCGGATCACGAGGTCAGGAGATCGAGAGACGATCCCGGCTAACACGGTGAAACCCCGTCTCTACTGAAAAATACAAAAAAACTAGCCGGGCGAGGTGGCGGGCGCCTGTAGTCCCAGCTACTCGGGAGGCTGAGGCAGGAGAATGGCGTGAACCCGGGAGGCGGAGCTTGCAGTGAGCTGAGATCCGGCCACTGCACTCCAGCCTGGGTGACAGAGCAAGACTCCGTCTCAAAAAAAAAAAAAAAAAAAAGAAGTGTATATAACGTTTACCGTTTGGAAAAGCTAGAAGAAAGGAGCACAGAGGTGGTTTCCGGGGTGCTCGTAATGTTCTGTTTCTTGATCAGATGAATATTTATTAAACTGTATCCTTATGGTATATGAATTTTTCTCTGGTTTTTGGTTTTTTAAATTTTTTATTTCAGTTGCTTTTGGGGTACAAATCATTTTTGGTTACATGGATAAATTGTATAGCGGAGAAGTCTGAGATTTTAGTGCACCCATCACACAAGTAGTGTACGCTAGACACAGTATTAAGGTGTGTATATTATTTCTCAATAAAAATGTATTTTTAAAAAGTAAAAGGACATGCATGCATACAAACTAATAATAAACATTTGGCAAAAACATGGCTAATTCAAAGATACAGAAAAGTGGTGTGGGGAGGGAAATGGGGAAGAGAAATAAAGGATCCCTCCTGCTGCCCCATGACTCATATGCTCCAGTTAGCACACGCAGGGCAGCTCTGAATCCAAATGGGCTTCTAGCCTGTGGGGTGGGAGAGAGGTAAGCCCAGCCCAAACATTTGTGGCCTAGGAAAAAAAAGTTCAAATACAGGTCCACATACCGTATATCTAAAATATTAAAAGTTATAAACCAAGTTAACAAACTGTTGAATAAAATATGTTATCCTTGCTTGACATATATAGACACACACACCCCAGCTTCATAATGATCAGGAATGCCAGGTTCAAATTTAGAATCCTCAGACTCCCCCAGGTCCCTGGCCCAATCTTCTCTTCCCAACCCAGCCAACGCCCACATTGCAAAAAACCTCACAATTGCACGTGTGGACACCCCAAGACTTATAAATTGCATCCAAACCCCGACAGCCAGCCATTCCTTGGGCCTAGAAGTGCACACCAGCAGCACAATCTTCCCTTGGGAGGTTACCCCTGAAAAAAAGGCCCATACAGGTCTGGGAAGTAGGCTGGGGCCATTTGGGCAGGACCTTACAGAGTGGTATCTAGCTGGCCGCACGCACTCTGAATGGACACATCCGTTTGGGCCCATGTACTTGTTGCCTGATGAGAAGGACACAACCAAAGAGGATAAAGTTAAGAGCCTCTATTGCCAGTTTAAGGGCAACACTAGAGACAAGAGTGCCCTATTCTCCACTCACCCACCCCCACCAAATTGAAATGAGAGCTGACACTTCTGCTACACTTTCCAGTTTACAAAGCACCTTCACAAACAATACTCTAAATCAATCCCCCCAATCTTGTAAGCTTGTTACATACTACCATTTGAGAGATGGGAAAACTGAGCTAAAAGTGACTGGCCTGAAGTCACACAGTTAAAACCTGGGTACTCCTAGGAATCCAGTGGAGGAGTTTTCCCTCCAAATTTCAAAGGTTATGCTCTTTCCATGACTCAACACTTCCATGCATCCCCTAGCTTTGTAAAGAACCCATGGACTAAAAAGGAATTGGAAATTGTAAATATGTAGTTGAAACATTCTGGAAAAAAGACCAGAGTCAGGGAAGGAAATCTAACACCAAACACAGAAAAGTTTCTGGGAAAGAGTCTGGGCCCAGAGCAAAAACCATCACTGGTACAAAGACTACTGTGTAGGGTAGCAATTCCAGCTGGGTCGCGGGGGCTCGACTCCCACCCCAAACCACAAAATGAGTGCCTTCAAAACATTTAAGCAATCCTCCTCCAAATTCCACACCAATTACATGGGGGGGCTTGGTTCCACAGCCCTCCTTCTCTCCACCACCCGGCTGAAAATACTTTATTAATGACAGGGCAGCATAAAGCCACAGAACTCCATCTGCTCTAGGATAATCCAGACAACAGTATGGCACCAGCCCCAGGTGAGGCCCGACCCTCCTCCAGCAAGGACCCGCTAAGGCTGTGCCTCCCTCTAATTAGCAGGGCCTGACTCAAGGCCTGGGCAGTTATTTAGAGAACCATCGCCTGCTCCCAGCATAGATATCCATAAGGCTGGGGCAGCAGGCACTGTCTGCTCAAAGCCAGCTGCCTGAAGCTGCCATCTCCTCATTCCACCATCCCAGGACCCCTCCTGCCACCTCGGCACTCCCAAGCTCAGCAGCATCATGTCACTCGCACACACAGCTGCAGAGTACATGCTCTCGGATGCCCTGCTGCCTGACCGCAGGGGCCCCCGCCTCAAAGGACTGCGCCTGGAACTGCCCCTGGACCGGATAGTCAAGTTCGTAGCTGTGGGTTCCCCCTTGTTGCTGATGTCCCTGGCATTCGCCCAGGAGTTCTCCTCTGGTAAGTTGCTTCCAAGGCCCAGTGCGCAAGAGAGACTCCCCTTCATGTCACTCTCTGCATGGGCTCTGAAGTGAGATGGTGCGCACAGTGATGGGATTCCATGGCTTTGGGCTGGGCTGGATTATCCAAAAGGCAGATGATGCATAAGTTCAGGCCAGCAAAGCAGAGGCACCAAAAAATTTTGAAAGTCATCTGCAAAATGTTACAGTTAAAAAAAAAGTTGTAATTTTAGTATTCATATATTTTATGTCATTTCAAATGATCAAACCTTTATTTTGGTTTTCATTATGAATGAAAGAAGTTGACACCCCTGGTAATGTTTTTAGGACCTTAGACCTCTTCATCTTAGCTGGGCCAAGTCTCTTATTTGCTCTGGGCCCTCTTCCCACCCCAACCCCCCAACTCCAGGGTTATTGACTTGAGAATATGTATTAAGTGCCTGAGAGCCAGGCACATTGGAGATGCTGGATAAACCCATTGCTTCCTGTCTACGAACCCCAGCCACACACACAGACATTAGCATACACATACATCTAGGGCTTCAGGTGCTGGATTCACTCAGCAAATCCGCCACCTTTGTTAAAGAGAATGTGGACTTCCTGAGAACTGAGACTTCTTTCTGGCTTTCCTTTCCAGCAGTGCCATTAGCTTACTACATTTCCCAAACAGGTATGCCAGCCTCCCACCACCTCTTCATTCATCCACAACCAGGGGAGAAGAAATGGCTCCCACTTCTGCCTCTTTCTGCAGACTGACATGAAAACAAAAAGGCAGGAACTCTCCTCCAAGCCCACTTTCCTTCTGGCATAATTTGCCCACCCTTTCTCTTCATTTAGGCTCAGAAGCCCAGGCAATTAATCCTCAACATTTTAGAGCCTAAAGGATGTCAGTTATTTCAGGAAAGAGACATCACCATCAAACCACAAGCCTTCTGGTACCAGACTACAGGAGCACAAAAAGCCCAGGGGGTACTCTGAGAGCAAAGAACCGCCAGACCCAAAAGGCTGAGTCAGCACTGGCAAGCCCTGGCCATACGGTGGGATGCGTCCAGGAGTGCCCTGTCCTACCGTGACATGGCAGTGCTCAACCCAGAAAACTAAGGTGTGGGAAGAAGACAGTCCCTGCCAGAAACAGAAACAGGAAGAGTTAGATGATTGCCCCTGAGTCCCCACTCCTCCACTCCAACTCAGGCGGCCTCAAAGCTGTGTTCCTGTTGCAGGGTCTCCGATCAGTTGCTTCTCTCCCAGTAACTTCAGCATCCGGCAGGCAGCCTACGTGGACAGCTCCTGCTGGGACTCACTGGTTCACCATGAGCAGGACGGGCCTGGTCAGGACAAGATGAAATCTCTCTGGCCCCATAAGGTAAAGCAAACTCTCTGTAAGGCCAGCTTCACGGTTGAGTGGAGTGGGGCAGAACCACTTCATTCTACTCCTTCTTTCCTCTATCCCCACCACCCCTAACCCATTTATTTTAGTCACTTGCTTTCATGTTTCAGGCATTCTCTGAATGTGGCGATCTTTGGTGACCCACTTGTATCTAATTGGAAGCTTTGTGCCTGAGGGTGAGGCACATAAACAGGCAGACTTCGGTTTAAGGTGATTCCTTTGGTCTATTTCATTAGTTTCTGAAATATTGACTCTATATTCCTTTTTCCTGGGCTCATCAGTTTCCTCCTACAAGAGTCATTCAGACCTTAATTTGTGGGGAAGGGCAGGGTGCCGTTGGAATTAAGCCTGCCTACTTGAGGTCAGGAGTTCAAGACCAGCCTGGCCAACATGGTGAAACCCCGTCTCTACTAAAAACACAAAAATTAGCCGGGTGTGGTTAGCACCTATAATCCCAGCTACTCAGGAGGCTGAGGCAGGAGAATTGCTTGAACCCAGGAGGCGGAGGTTGCAGTGAACTGAGATTCCACCACTGCACTCCAGCCTGGGCAACAGAGCGAGACTCCATCTCGAAAAATAAATTAAATAAATAAATAAATGAAAATATTTACAAGTAGAGATTTTACTTTACAGGGCCCAACCCTGCTAGGTGTGGTAAGTATGATGAGGAAACCTAAGGAAAAGTCCCTATGTTAATTTGCTAGGGCTGCTGAAACAAAGCACCACCAACTGGGTGGCTTCAACAATCAAAATTATCATCTCAGGGTTCTGGAGACCGGAAGTCCAAGACCAAGGTGCCATCAGTATTGGCTCCTCTGAGGGCTGCGAGGGAAAGGTCTGCCAGGTCCCACTCCTTAGCTTGTAGATACAGTGCCCTGGGCAGTCTCCCTGTGTGCATGTCTGCTTCTTTACCTGGCTTTAAAAAAAAAAAAAAAAAAATCAATCATAATGAATTTGAGGTCCACCCTATTCCAGTATGACCTCATTTTAAATTAACTAATTGCATCCACAACAACCCCATTTCCAAATAAGGTTTCATTCTGAGGTACCAAGAATTAAGACTTCAATGTATGAATGGAGGGAGGACATGGACACAATTCAACCCGTATCAGTCCCTTATTGCAGGTAGCTAACGATGCAGTCATTGAGGAGACAAGGCTTATGAATTCGTGAAAGTCAGCTTATAGATTTACATAGCTGAAAGAGCCCCCAAAGAATCCCAGGACAGCGTCTGATGGTGTAGTTTGGCATTACCAAGAATCCAAAAATTGGAAAAGACCACTGTGCATCAGACGAGTCCAGGAAGGCGACAGGGAGGAAACGGGATTTTCTCTCCCTTAGGATGACGTGGTCTCTGCTGGCCGTGACCCCTAGCTAGCTAGCTGCACAGACCACTTTGAGGGAGGTAGGCAGATCACTCTCTCTCTCCTTTTCTCTCTCCTCTCCTCTCCTCCCCTCCCCTCCCTTGCCCTCCCTTCCCCTCCCTTCCTCTCTCTCTTCTCACTCTCTCTTCTCCCTGGGAACCCACACAGACCCTGGATCAGAAAAGCGAACCAGGGGAGCATGAAGGTGCACATTCCTTCTCAAGCAGGCCTCCCTATACTCAGCCAGGTCAGTAGGGTGCCTCGGGGGCTGGGCCTGGGCTAGCCCATTCCCCACACAGCCTTCCCCTGCTGAGGCAGGAACAGGGGAAAGGAGAGCCCTTCACTCAGCGCTGTCACTCAGGGTCTCAGCAGCCCCGGCCTCCCCCTCAGCTGCTCTCGCCCTGCAGGCCCTCCCCTACTCCCTGCTGGCCCTGGCCTTGCTCATGTACCTGCCAGTGCTGCTGTGGCAGTATGCAGCTGTGCCAGCCCTCAGCTCCGATCTGCTGTTCATCATCAGCGAACTGGACAAATCCTATAATCGCTCCATCCGCCTGGTGCAGCACATGCTGAAGATCCGGCAGAAGAGCTCTGACCCCTATGTGTTCTGGGATGAGCTGGAGAAGTGAGTTGTCTCTACCACCTTTTTCTGAGAAATTCAGTCAGGAATTTAAATGATATCTTTGCATAGTCATCTTTAAATGATCTTCCATGCCATTCGTCTCAAGAGGGCAAAGTGTTTAACACATCATCTCATTAACTTTCTATTGTTTCTGTAAAGGGAGAGAGAAAGGACTCTTCCTGTAGTGTACACTGAGCCCACAAAGGGATTCATCTTTCTAGAATTCCACTTTCATACACTACTCCCTTTCGAAACCTTAAATAGCTCCCTTCATGCCTACCAAAAAATACTCAAACTTTCCCAGATATGTGTGCAAGGCCCTCAACACACTGTCACCAACTACTTTTTCAGACTTCTAACTACCAGGTGACAGAAACCTTCCACTGCACCCAGGCAGCCTCCTCCTTTTCCCCTGAACAAATCATTTATCTATGTAATTATTCCTCCACCTGCATACAGGCACTGTCCTGGGTGCTTCTGACACATTCACGTGTACGTGTTGGGGGACGGGGGCAGGAGAGACAAAGCTGTACCTATCCCTGTGGGGCTTAGATTCTATTAAAGAAACAGACAAATACACAGAACGTGGGAGTGCAATCTATGTTCTGAGATAATAAGTGGTATGAAGAAAAGAAAAAGTGGGGGCAGAAGGAAGCTGGAGGGATGGAGAGTGGTGTAGTTTTACAGACAGTGGCCAGGCTAGATGGCCCAAGGGGACAATTGCGCTAACATTTGAATCATATTGTCCCATATTTATGCACATACTCTATCTTTGCAAAAAAAAAAATCCTATTTTTTGAAGCCCAGATTTCAGCCAATATTTTCCATAAAGGTTTCTGAACATTGAAGGCCACACTGTTGCCTACCTCTCCTAACCTTTACAGCCATTGTGGTTTGTGTCCACGATTTTAGCAACAAACCAAGCGCTATTTTTATTCCATATTTGCATGTCTTATCTGCCCCTTCCCCACAAGCCAGGCTCTAAGCTTCTTCAGAGCACAGACTGGCTTGCATGTACCTGAACACCACAGCTCTCAACAAACATTTGCGAGCCAAATTATTTACATGAGATGAATGAATTGGCCCAAAGATCATACACAGAGTACACAGGCCAAGAACCAGAATGTACTTTTTTTTCTTTTTCTTTTTTTTTTTTTTTTGGTGGGGGAGACAGGGTCTCACTCTGTTGCCCAGGCTGGAGTGCAGTGGCACAATCCTGGCTTCTTGCAGCCTCAATCTCCTGGACACAAACAATCCTCCCTCCTCAGCCTCCCAAGTAGCTGGGACCATAGGTGTACACTACTACACCTAGCTAATTTTTGTATTTTTTCATAGAGATGAGGTCTCGCTATGTTTCCCAGGGTGGTCTCAAACTCCTGGGTTTATGGGACCCTTCCACCTCGGCCTCCCAAAGTGCTAGGATTATAGGCATGAGCCACCATGCCCGGCCCAGAATGCACTCAGCTAGACCCCCAATCCAGTGCTAATTTCATAAGCCTATTGCTACCTAAAGATCCTACTTCAGCTTAGAACTTTAGTCTGCCTTGCTTGGCAGAAATCCAGTGTAATAAATCATTACTCACTGATCATTCACTGGGTTTTTCACATGGCAGTCAGTACTTGGAGAATCAAGATACACTCATATGTCTCTGTTTTGGGGAGAAGGATGGTTATGCTCCGGGAAGGCAGATTTTCATGGGAGCCAAGAATGCCATGTTGAAAACAGATCTGTTACTTTGTCACATGCTTCTCTTGGAGTATGGTTCTAAACGGTCACTACTCACCTTGCCTCCTTTCTTCCACTGCCCAGGGCTCGGAAAGAACGATACTTTGAATTCCCTTTGCTAGAGCGGTACCTGGCATGTAAGCAGCGTTCACATTCACTAGTGGCTACCTACCTCCTGAGGAACTCCCTCTTGCTCCTCTTCACCTCCGCAACTTACCTATACCTTGGTCATTTCCATCTGGATGTCTTCTTCCAGGAAGAATTCAGCTGCTCCATCAAGACAGGGCTGCTAAGTGATGAGACCCATGTCCCCAGCCTCATCACATGCAGGCTGACATCGCTGTCCATTTTCCGGATTGTTAGCCTCTCCAGTGTAGCAATATACACCATATTGGTTCCAGTGATCATATACAACCTCACACGGCTATGTCGATGGGACAAACGACTCTTATCTGTCTATGAGATGCTCCCAGCTTTCGATCTCCTCAGCAGAAAGATGCTAGGATGTCCCATCAATGACCTCAATGTGATCCTTCTTTTTCTCCGAGCTAACATCTCTGAGCTCATCTCTTTTAGCTGGCTGAGTGTCTTATGTGTGTTAAAGGATACGACCACCCAGAAGCACAATATTGACACCGTAGTTGATTTTATGACTTTATTGGCTGGCTTAGAACCCTCAAAACCCAAACATCTCACCAACCCGGCATGTGATGAACACCCATAGTTAAGAAACCATGGAGCCAGAAATTTTGTGGAAAGTCTGTCTCCTTCCTCATAAGACATGCACACTAATACACATATACACACACACAAAAAAAATACACACTTTAAAATTGCTAAGCTTGGACTTAACTGAATCATATATCTTTTATCATGTTATCCTAAAAGTGAGAAGACATAATCAAGACATGGAAATAAATGTGAAAGCTGGAGCTGAAGAGTCAAAGAGCTAAAAAATTAAGTCTAGAACATTCTATGAGGACAGTATAAATAAAAAGAAATAAAATCTAGACATGCTGTAAGGAAAGAAGATTCTAAAGGCCATTTATGGAGACAATTTCATATCCTTTCTTGGACGCACATTCAGCTTACCCCAGAGAGCAAGTGAGGCAATCTGGCAAGAGATTAATAAAGATGTAAACCCCTTGAAACCCTTTAGTGTGGCCTGAAATCCTAGGAATTTACCCAGCTTGCTTTGTAGAAGTTTTCAATCTTGTCCAAGTCCTCTGTAGCCTCCAAAGTGCTGGGAGATGACGGCTTCAATTTGTAATCTGCTCTTAGAATGTAAGGACATAGTAGAACAAGGCCAGGGCTATGTCTCAGCCATAAGTGGAGCCTTCAGGTGCCCCGATACACTTTTCACCATCTAAACCAGGAACTCATTTCACCAGGGGCTGGGATTATGGGCTACAGACTCCTTCACAACTTTTAATAGGGCCAGGTATGCTTTTAATACTCCAGAGGATACTATGCCTTCCCTTACAGCTAATCAATAGCTAGACAGTAAAATGCTATTGAACTTCTTTCTCTTCTGATTTATCACCCTGTTTTATCTTCTAACTCCCATTTCTATGCCTGTAGTTAATGGAACTTTGATCTGACTTCAAAGACTCACACACAATATCATGCTGTCTGCCATTTTATATTTCTTTTTAGAGCTACACATTATGCATTTCTTTAGAGAATTTTTGCATAGACCATTTAGACCCTTCTTTGTACAGTTACGTAGAAAAGTTATGTTGTTTCTGACAAATTCAGGTAAGTTTACCTAACACAAGCAAAGAGCTGATAGATGATTTCCTACTGTCACTAGGTCAAAGTCCAACTCTTCAGTTGGTACACAAGACTTTTCATGACCCAAACCCTACTTACTGCTTCAGTCTCTCCTCTTGCTTCTCTCTACACACAACTTTCACACCAATCAACTACTTGCAGTTCCCATGCTGCTCACAGTGCTGAGCCTTTGAAGATGCTGTCTCCACCACCCAGCATGCCCTCCTTTGTTCTTCACTGGGCCTACCAACCACTACCTCTCCTTCAGAGTCTGCCCATATATATCTCCTTCAAGAAACCTTTCCTATCTCCTCCCTCCTTCCCTGACTGGGTGCTGCCAAATAAAATAAAACCTACCTCTGAAATAAACTTATCATACCATATTAACATTGCCAATTTACTTGTCTGTCTTCCTCTCTTAAAGTTCTTAAAGGTGGTATCATAGTAGGCACTAGGTAAATATTCTTCCCAACAAGTAAGGACTGAATGAGTTGCTCAGTGGCATCACCTTTGTGGAGCACACAAATCTAGCCTCTAAATTGTCCTATATGGAAACAGCTTTGGACACAAAGATGTGCTTTTAATGGAATTGACCAAAAAGTCAAAGAACATGGAAATAATTATGCAAAATATAACCATAACTGGAATATTAACCAGCCACTTAAAATTATGCTTATAAAGAAGCTATACTAACATCTGTGAAATTGAAATGATATAATGGTAAATGAACAAAAAGGAAACTTTATTTTCAGTATTACCTAACCTATATAAAAATGCATAAAATATTAGACACATATACTAACATGTTAGAAGTGGTTCATTCCAAGTGGTAGCATAATGGATTTTTAAACCTTTCCTGTACTATATTTTCTGAATTTCAAAGGTTCAAAAGAAATGTTTTATAAGTGTATGGAAATGTTTCCAATGAAGAAGAAACAAAAAATATCTTCATGCAAATCCCACTGAAGTCCATTGGCCAAAACAGCCTGCAAACTAGGACAAAGGATAGCACTTTTCTTCCCACTAGATGTGATACATGTATATGAAAATAAATAATACAAATAAAGTCAGACCCCAAAGCCTGCAAGGACAAAATACAGCACAACAGCAAATAAATCAGGCAATTAGCAAACAAGATTTTTAAAAAAAGGAAAAAAAAGTCTCTTCCTATTACTGGCACTACTTTCAAGTTCCAAGGTAAAGAACCAGTCTATATTACCAAAGGCATTAGTGTGGGTTTTTTAAGCACTAAAAATAATCCTGGTATTTTCCAAAACTGAATATATATGGCTGCCTTAAGTATGTTTGTGAAACACTGGCATCCTGAAGAGCTGCTCTATTAAAAACTCACTCAGGTCAAACAAGAGCACTTTACAATATATATGATCAAAACAAGAATTCCATAAGCTTTCGTCTGTATTAAAACGATTTTGCCAAGACCCTGTCACTGTTTTTACTGTTTTCAGAAATTAAGTACCTGGGTCATCAGTTGTGAACCTGTTTTTTATTCTGACTACACATTACTTACTATCTCCACTAGTTCAGTGAACTTATTGTTTTAACTATGTAACATATTTCCTGAATTTCCACAACTCTAAAAGTCAGTATCTTCGGCCAGGCGCTGTGGCTCACCCTGTAATCCAAGGCGGGCAGATTACCTGAGGTCAGGAGTTTGACACCAGCCTGCCCAACATCGTAAAACCACATCTCTACTAAAGACACAAAAATTAGCTGGGTGTGTTGGCGGGCGCCTGTAATCCCAGCTACTCGGGAGGCTGAGGCAGGAGAACCGCTTCAACCCGCGAGTCGGAGGTTGAAGTGAGCCGAGATCGCGCCACTGCACTCCAGCCTGGGCAGCAGGGCCAGACTCCGTCTCAAAAAAAAAAAAAAGTCTACATTTTGAACATATAACAGTCATTATATATCAGTAGAGTACTTTACAATGTAGAAATCCCATTCACCTCCACTATTATAAAGTTTACAATCTAAAGACTATGTTTAGTTCCGAGAGAAAAAAACTACAGAGTTACTGAACTAGTTATTGGCATCGCTGGAAGAAGATGCAAGCCTTCTGCCATCCAGCCTGGGTCATTCACCAATACCGCACCCTAAAGATTCTTCTATCCTCCTTAATTTTAATAGACCTCGGTTGTAAAGTTAGAACCGTATAAATGTACATACTATGTACACAAATACACTTCTGCTTTCACTAGACAAACATCTACTGAGTGCCTACTTAGAGACAGTATTAAAACTGCGTGTTGAATCTCTCATCTTCCCTACTAGAAAGAGCCAAGGCCTTCCTCCCTATTCACGACTGTGTTCCCAGCTCCTAGGAAGATCATAGCATTAGGAGGCCCTGCAAACACATTTCTGTGAGCTACAGAAAGGAACGAAGCAAGGAAAGAAGCAGAGTCCCAGCATTTGGGACTCTTTCCCAGACAGTCTGGGAAAGCCTGTCTGCATGAAGCATGAAAAACGTGTTGAAAGGCAGTGGCCCGCTGGGGGAGCGTGAAGGACAGCTAGCGTTGGTAAGATTTTTGTTAGTTCATTAGTTCAACTATAGTACCCTTCAGCTAAGCACACAGACGCCCGAGGCCCGGATTCGATTCCAGACGCCAGCCCTCCCTCCTTTCCTCATCCAGCACTCGCCCCCAATTGTCTCTTTCCTCCTGGCGCCCGGGATCGCACCGCCCAGACCGCCTTACTCTCCCTGCCCCGGAAGTTACACGCTGCCGACACCGGGACGTAACTTCCGGGAAGGGTTTACTTCCAAGACAGACACGGAAGTGTTGGGAGGCGCCGGGAGCCGGTTCGGTTGCCGGTGTCTCTGGCCTTGCGGTCAACCCTGGGAACGTCCCGGAGAGCTAGATTCCTAGAGCCACGATTCCGCTAGCCCCGAACAGACTAAGCCAGCGCTCCCGCCCGCTCCCCCGACTTAGGATCCGATGCCGGCAGCGTCCTGGGGCCCCCGTAGCGGGGCTGGACCATGAGCCTGCTGGACGGCCTCGCCTCCTCCCCGCGGGCTCTGCTGCAGTCCAGCAAGGCCAGGATGAAAAAGCTCCCGAAGAAGAGCCAGAACGAGAAGTACCGGCTGAAGTACCTGCGGCTGCGCAAAGCGGCCAAGGCCACTGTGTTTGTGAGTCTGACCCGCGTCCAGCCGGAGACCCCGCCTGGAGACCCTCTCACAAAATCTTTCCCCAAGCTGTTCCCCCTTCCCAGGATGACAGTATTAATATAGTGTTGGCTTTTCCAACATTGCTACTTGTTAGCCTTGTGTCCTTGGACAAATTATGTGATTTCTCTGTGTCCTTATCTGTAAATGAGCTAGTAACTACCTTGCAGAATAATGAATATTAAATGAGCAAAGAAAAGTGCTTGGTGCCTAAAAGACATGCCAATAAATTTTAGTCATCGTTATTACTGCAGAACTCTAGGAAATGTATTTGATTCTTGAGATACAGCCCTGAGAATGAGGCATTATTTGTAAAATGAGAACACTGAAGAAAGAGATGATTTGCTCAAGGCTACTGTGTCAGAGCCCTGACTCCAACTTAAATAACCCTGATTCCATTTTATGACTTCCAGTACACAGACTGTTTTCTGAGCACCTCACATCCCCATAACTGCCCCCTTGCCCAAAGAGGTACATGAAACTTTCAGTAATTTCCCCCCTCTAACCTTTGAGTGTTCCAAGTGTTTCTTCCTTTCTTTTATTGTAGAAGCACTGGATTTATTGAATGAATAAACTTAATATACAGCTTGCCAGCCATAACTGTATATTAGAATATTTTGGCTTGCTTCAGTGCTTGGAAATAGGGGTGGAGTCCTCAAATGTCCCCCCACATCCAAGTCAACAGTTCATCTCTCTACCAAAAGCTTGAACATCTCTCAGCATATTTGGAAGCATAAGGAAAAGTTTAGAAATTAGAATACACATTCCAAAAACACTTATTCAGCACTCGCTATGTGCATTGCTTGCTATTTGCGCTGGAGAGAAACAAGAAAAGTAGAACTAAGAGAACTTGGCATCTGATTGACTGTTCCCTGTCTTTTATCACCTATATGTCAAAGGTACCTAAAGCTTGGAACTTACGTTATTTCAAGGATGTTGGTTCCATCAATAAAGAAGATTTTGTGAAGAAAAAGGGATGTTTTGAACATTGAGAATTTGAGTTTCCACCTATGGAGCATTCAGATTCATCATTCCCTTCAGGATTGGAGCTTGGGAGATAGACTGAGTCATAAGTTACCAAAAAAAAAAAAAAAAAAAAAAGATAATACCTGAATTCATATAAGTAGATTATGAAGTTTAAGAATTTTACACCGTAAATTTGAATTTGTTCTGTCCAGTTTTTCTCTATTTGGGTTAGACTGGCTTTATAAGTTTCTCAAGAGTTGAGGCACTTGAGAATAGATAGTCTTCATATTTATAGTATTTAATTTAAGCATCTGTGGATTTAAGCAGTATGCCTTTTTCTGAGCCAAAGGCTATACTAATTAGGGTGACCATTAATCTTGGCTTGCCCAGGACAGTCCTGGTTTACCATATTGTTCTGGCATAAGCATTAATAGTACCCTCTTTTCACTCAAAGGTGTCCCAGATTGGATAATAAATTACATAGCTACCCTGCCCATAGTAGAACCTGACTACCTTTACCTATGGATTTATTTATAGTTTGTCACAAGGTAGAATAGCTCCTCCTCCTCACTCAGTAATACAAGCTTTTTTGGTTTGAAATATGGATCCTCTTCCCAGCATAATAATGTGATTGTTTATTCATTTTTATATGATTATATTCAAATTTTTACTTAAAGGAAAATGCTGCTATTTGTGATGAAATTGCTCGTCTTGAAGAAAAATTTCTTAAAGCAAAAGAAGAAAGAAGGTGAGCTGGCTTCATTTTGTGTTCAGCATCACCTTTTTGGTGATTGATAATAGTGTTACTGCTCTGGAGATTTTTTTCCCAGTGGGATTTATGCACATCACACAGCCCCTTGGCCACTTGATCAAGTACAGAGAAACTTAACCTATGGCATTGGTTCCTGCACACCCAAATTACGTTGAGCCAGCTCAAGTTACGTGATGAGACAGCTCTTCTCCTCATCTTTCTGAAAAAGCTGTCTTGCCACATCTCATTAATAATCTTGTTAAGATTATTTAATCTTATGGCCCAATTATAAAAGCCAAGTGATAAAAGCAACTGCCTCTTATTCTACAAATATTTATTCTGTACATACTATTCTGTGCAAAGCACAATGGGTATATATACATCTGTAAATAATGTGCCTTTCAGAAGCCTAATACCATCCAACATCAAGGTAGAGGAACCGTCCAGATGCAAGGGATAAGCTACAGTTCTTATCCTTGGCCTCTTGAAGTATTGATTATCCTCCAAGGCTTTATGATTCATAGGGTCTAATAAGAACCTTTCTTTTATGATCATAGTAATCTTTGTATACAGTTCTGGCTTTTCCCAGCACTTGAGTAAAATACTGAATTGAGACAATATGGAAGTTCATTTCTCTGCTCCTTTCCTTCCTGACCTCAGGTACTTGCTAAAGAAGCTCCTCCAGCTTCAGGCTCTAACTGAAGGGGAAGTACAGGCTGCAGCTCCTTCCCACAGTTCCAGTTTGCCCCTGACTTATGGTGTGGCCAGCTCTGTGGGAACTATACAGGGAGCTGGGCCTATTTCAGGGCCCAGCACTGGGGCTGAGGAACCATTTGGGAAGAAATCGAAGAAGGAGAAAAAAGAAAAAGGCAAAGAGAACAACAAACTGGAAGGTACTTTGGGGAGATGATATCAGGTGTCCCAGTGACTCACCTACTAATGACAGTTAGACCTGGTACTAACAGACAGACACAGCTACAGATATACTTAGAGTCTCATCTGGTTCTTAAGGAGCCCTAAGAGCCCTTGAGAAACAAATGTCAAATGTATTAGAGCCACTTTGGGTGGAGAAATCCTAGCTAGTCTTTGTTAAATGCAAGGGGAGCAGACTGAGACTCTCCCCTTCCCCCAACTCTCTAGGTTGCATTCCATTTAGTCTTTCCTAGAGGCAGGGAAATGGGCTAGGTGGCCTTTGGAGCACACTGCTGGCTTGGGAAATTTCTGATCTTACAAAAGAAATGAGAGGCCTTAAAAAGTATAAGGCCTTTAGCTCCTAAGCACGAATCTGGGCAGGTTAGAAAGATACTCAGGGCTTTGGGCGAAAGCCCCACGTGCCCATTCAGTAAGTATATAAAACCAGGATTGGCTTATTACCCTTACCATTCACATGCAAATTTATCCCTTCCCTTCAACATTGGGAGGGGCCTAAAGTGGGTGACCCCAGATTTGCGTTTCAGTTCTGAAGAAAACATGCAAGAAAAAGAAAATGGAGGGAGGTGCTCGCAAGCTGGTTCAGCCCATTGCCCTGGATCCCTCAGGACGGCCTGTGTTCCCCATCGGACTAGGGGGTCTAACAGTATATAGCCTGGGGGAGGTGAGTGAGACCAGCGATATTTAGAGAGGAGAATCAGAGAAATATGGGAATGGGGTTGAGCCTTCCCTCCCTGTTCCCATTAGCGGCAGCCCCTTGCTGATCCATACCAACCTCAGAATGTCTCCAGTCCCTGCCAACCCAGGTCAGTGTTGTCTGCTACACAGCCTACTCTCTGTCTTTGTGTGATTTGTCACTCTTCGCAGCCCCAAAGTGGTTCTAAAGGCTACCACAGGAAACTGGACTTCTCAATTCTTCAGTGACCTCAATCCCAGGTTGGGGGAATGTTTTTTATAGATCATCACCGACCGACCTGGCTTTCATGATAAGAGTGCCATCTACCCTGTGGGCTACTGCAGTACTCGAATATATGCCAGCATGAAGTGCCCAGACCAGAAGTGTCTATATACCTGTCAGATCAAGGATGGTGGTGTGCAGCCTCAGGTACCCTGTCTAGTAATAACCATTGTTTGTCTTTCGAACCTTCTCTATGCCAGGATATGTATTACCTGTTCTGACACCTTATAAGGTAGATACGTATAATCACCATTTGGGTAATTCCAAGATCCTGAAAAGTGGCTGGCCCTAAGTCGCACCTCTGCTAATAAGTGGTTGAGCTTGAATGTGAATCTATTATCTGTCTCATTCTAAAACTGATGCCCTTTTCCCTTGAACCATGCTACTTCAGCTGCTGACTTTGTGACTATGTGAGGCTTGATCAAGCCTACTTATGTGAGGTACAGGCCAAAATAGAGGGAAGATTAGTTTGATACACTGCCATGTCAAGTTGGACCAAGATGGAGTTAGCAAAGAAGTTGCATATTAGTTTCTGGCTGCAAATACTCTTAAGGACCTGAGAGTCTTAAATCCTAGTCTTACTAAATACCTTTTTTCATCCTTCTCAGTGCTAAGATTTGAGACAGTTCATTTTCCCCAACCATCATCTCCTGATTGTTGGGGAAAAACAAAAAAATAGACCATTTTCAGAGTTCTAAGCTTCACTGAGGAAGTTACAGATCCCTAGAAAGTAAGGTAGAAGGAAGTAGAGGCAAGGTAAGGAACCTTTGAGCAGAAGCTGGGAGAACCCTGAGACGTCTTGACTTCTTGTAGATAACATTGCATCACGCCTATCAGAGCACTGTTAGGCATAGTTGAGAGCTCACGTGACCTCCATTATACAACAGTTTCTTTAGAAAGACTCATTATTGTAACGGTATACCATATGTATAATACATCTATAAATGCAATGCAAATCTAGTCAAAATCCTAAGTAGAAATTGACAAGCTGATTCTTAATTGTCTCTGAAAAGCAAAATGCTAAAACATTTTTGAAAAAGAAGAATCTGTGGAGTTTTTAGTTTTCTTTTTTAGGTCATTAACCTAACTGGACATTATTTTTAGGTTTGTGAGCTAGGAATCTAGCTTCAAATTTTGTTACAACTAACGTCAAGCAGCTGTTTTTTATATATATATATATACACACACATATATATGTACACACACACACACACTAAATATATGTAATTCTTGTATCTGTTTCCAGATGATTCCTTTTTATTGATCTATTTGTCTATACATGTCAATATGACTTTTTATTACTTTAGCTTTATTGAATATTCTATAAATATGTTAAAGGAAAATGTAAAAGAATTTTTTGTAATCTTAGGGTGAGGTGAAAAAGCTTTCTTTATTAGCAAGACATGAAACTTAGAAACCATAATGGAACATAATAACATATTTAACTATTAAAAATGTAAACACTTCTGAATGGCAAAAGACACCATGATCAAAGTTAAAACACAAGCAATAAACAGGAAGAAAACGTATGACAAAGTATTAATACCAGATAAAGTGCTCCTGTAGAGTAAGAAACAGCAATATTAAAAAAAAAAAAAACAAAAAACAAACCCACAGGCATTTCACAGAAACAGTGCAGATGGTAAAGTGTGGGCCTCATCAGTAAATGGGGAAATGCAAATAAAACAAAAATGAGATCTTATTTTGCTCATAGGCACATATCAGAGGGATTAATAATATCCAGTGCTGGCCGAGGTGGAGGAAAAGGAGTACTCGTTAGTAGGAGTGAAAATTGGTAGTCTTTTGGGAGGGCAACTTGGCAATATCAACAATTTTAATATGTGTGTCATTTGACCCAGAATATGTCTAGATAGTCTAGTATCTAGACTGCACTAGGTACATATTTGCACCTAGAGAAATGTGCAAATGTGAACCAAGTAACATGTAACAATGTACATTGTAGCAGTATTTGCAATAGCAAGAAATTAGAAATAGCCTAAATACCCATCATGAGAAAATGGTTAAGTAAAATATATCCACCCTTGTATGTACAGCAATTAAAAGAATGAAATAGATTTATACATTAGTACTAACAAGGAAGTATCTTCAAGACTAAAGTATAACATTTCTACCTTTAATGCTCTTTACTCAAATAAGGTAGAAATTTCAGTACAAAAATAATTGAAATTGACATGACGGATACTAAACAGTAGAGCAGTCCTGGACTATTTGAAATTAATTGCTCACAGCAAAATTAGGCGGGCCTGGCGGCGTGCACCTGTAGTCCCAGCTGCTGGGGAGGCTGAGGCAGGAGAATGGTATGAACCTGGGAGGCGGAGCTTGCAGTGAGCCAAGATCACACCACTGCACTCCAGCCTGGGCAACAGAGCAAGACTCAGTTTTCAAAAAAAAAAAAAAGAAAGAAAAGAAAAAAAAGAAATTAATTGCAAACAGTGTTTTCATTTATTAGCTGAGAAATAAATATAAAACATTAGAATCTTAACCTGGCAAGATATGCCATTGGTTGAAATAAGAAAACCACCATTGACTGAAACTACTCACGAGAGAATTTATTACTGACAAAATTGACAGATCTCTAAAATTTGACACAGGAAATTGAATCCAGTGAAATAATAACCACAGAAGAAAACTAACAGTAGTAGAACCTATACTCAGTAAAAATTGGTTTGACTTTTTTAGAAATCAGTAGTGCTCAATATCATTCTAAAAAATTATACAGAAAATAAATTAATCCTGTTCAGGATAATTCGACTGAAGTAAACATTGAAGAACTAGAAACTGTTTAACTGAACTTTTTGACTAGTCAAAGAATTTAACTGGCTAGATAGAACTTGTTACAGAAATATTTTCCTGGCAAAAAAATTATTGAGCTTTATAGAAAATTGGCCAAATAATTAAATCAGCTAGTTAACTTGTTACATTTGTTACAAAATATTTTGTTGGCAAAAATTCCTCAGAATTAGTATAATTTCGATGCAACAGTTTCTTTTTATTAATATAACCAAGATATTTTAACATTCAAAATGAAAGCAAATACAATGAAATGGCAGTTTGCAGTCAGCCTGTTTCTCCTAGATCTTGTAAAATTGACTTAGAAGATTACATGGAGAGTGATCTCATTTGTTTTTAAAATACCATTTGTATTTGTACTTAAGGATATAAGTAAGTGGATTGGAAAGGCATGTAAGAAATTAAATGCTTACTTTTGGAAAGCCGTCAACCAAGAAGGGTAGAACTGAAACAGTCCAAGGACTTTCTCTAGGTACTTGGATTTGTTTAAATTGTTAGCAGCCCTGTAGGAGAGTATGTGTGTCCCTTTTGAAGATGGTGTACATCAGCTTCAAGTTCCAGAGTAAAGAAATATTTACAGAGTAGTGTGCCCTCTTTCCTTCCGTCGTGAGGATTGATCTCATTGCTCGTTTATCCTTCTCAGTTTGAAATTGTTCCTGAAGATGACCCCCAGAATGCCATCGTCAGCTCTTCTGCAGATGCTTGTCATGCAGAACTGCTCAGGACTATAAGTGCTACTATGTAAGTTGACCAAAAGCTTGAAAACAGGCTAAAAGATCACTGTTGGTACAGTGAAACCTTTTCTCTTGCTTTGAATGAGTAGAGATACCTCATTTTATGGAAACCTATCCTGGATCCTCCTGACGTCATACCAACTAGAGCCTCCACATTATCAAAGTCAAGAAAGCTTATCCTGTTTGTTCATACCACTATTCTGTTCTTAAACCCATCTTCATCTCCCGCTAAGCCCTCAAACTAAAATTATCCGTCTCCTGTTTAGGGGGAAACTAATGCCTAACCTGCTTCCAGCTGGAGCTGACTTTTTTGGGTTTTCTCATCCAGCCATCCAAAACTTGATCCAGAGCTGTCCAGGAGCTCGAAAATGCATCAAGTAAGTGTGGTCAAATTCATTCCCTTGACAAAAGCTCAGTGATCAGCCGGCCAGGGACTGGCAGTTACTACTTTGTTCACTCACCTGCTGTGTCCAAGGCCTGCCTGCTTCCCAACCACTGTGGCTCAGTATTGGCCCCTTAGCCTTCTGGACAGGTGAGCAAGAGCCAGGACTCCACTGTTCGCTGATTATGACTATTTTATGTGTGTACCATGACAGCAAAATGGGTGGGAAATCTCGCAGAATGATTTGTCACTAAAGAGGCCTGCTTGTTTCTTTTAGGTTTTTGTTAGCTAATATGTGTTTTAGATATATATGGGAGGAATATAAAGAAAAATTACCTGATCCCTTTGGAGGTAGGAATGGGTATTTATGTCTAGCAGATAACTCTCAAGGGTGATTTCCCTTGCTTCTGCAGTTACCAGTGGGTGAAATTTGATGTGTGCAAACCTGGAGATGGGCAGCTACCTGAGGGGCTGCCAGAGAATGATGCAGCTATGAGCTTTGAAGCCTTTCAGAGACAGACCTTTGATGAAGATCAGAATGATCCCCTTCTGCCAGGTATCTTTAACTTTACCTTTCTGGTTTGAAAATTGACTGTGTTTAGGCTACCTTCCCACCTTCACGCATAGCCGAGTACCCTAAATATCTATGCATTGAGTGATAAAAGCTTTCACGGAATCAGCCTTGCAGAGTGCTGAGTCAGAGGGGGACCTGCAGCCTGCATAGCTTCCGAGATTACTCACAGATGTCATGGGGAGCACCTGCGATCATAGTAAGGCAGGGTACCCCAGAAACAAAGGTAGCTTATTCTGTAAGCTAAGCAAGACCAGAGCAGAACACCAGGGGAAAGTTTACTGTGCAGGGAATAACATCTCAAGCGAAGTCAGTGGGATCAGGTGAAGGCCTTGGCCCTGCCTGTGTTCCATGAATTCCTCCCACAAATGAGTGGAGTGATCAAGGGTTCAGGCTTTGGGGTCATATAGGGAAAACCCTGGGTTAAAAAATGGAATTGAAATTCTCACTCTTTGCCTAATATACTATATAACCCTAGGCAAGTCACTTAATCTGTTTCAACCAGTTTTCATTGTAAAAGTATCTGTCCTGTTGTAACAAAGGCAAAATTGAGCTGTCAAATGCAAGGGTGTTAAGGAATTGATTGAAAGGACAGGTATGTGTCTGACCAAAACAGTCTGCTCAGACTCCCAAGCAGCAGTGGAACTTAAGGAATTGTTTTCCCCAGGATCCTTGGACCTCCCAGAGCTTCAGCCTGCAGCCTTTGTGTCTTCTTACCAGCCCATGTACCTGACACATGAACCCTTGGTAGATATTCACCTGCAGCACCTGAAGTCTCCATCACAGGGTAGCCCAATTCAGTCTTCAGATTGAACAAGAAGGGATCAGATGCCACATCGTTTTCATCGTGATTAATTTAACTTAAACTAAAATTTTGGGTATATGGAAGAAGGCAGCAATTCAGAAGTAAAGAAGATATTCACATATTTCATCATGGAGGGTCCTGTAGTGACGGTTTTCCCTGGGAAAAATTTCAGCTGCTTTATTTTTAGTAATAAATTTCTCTTGTCAATTCTGTTTATTTTCATCTTGTTGTAATCAGGATATAATCTTTTTTGCTTAGCTCTGCCTGAGGTAGAGTCAACTTCAGCCTCTTATAAACAAGAGTGATAGAGAGCTGCTGTCTAGTCTATTCAGGCTGCTACAACAAATACCATAGACAGAGTGGTTTATAAATAACATGAATTTATTTCTCACAGTTCTGGATGCTGGGAAGTCCAAGTTCAAGGTGCTGGCAGATTCAATGTCTGGTGAGGGCCCACTTCCTAGTTCTTAGACAGCCGTCTTCCTGCTGTGTCCTCACGTGGTAGAAGGGGAAGGCAGCTCTCCGGGGTCTCTTTTATAAGAGCACTAAGCCCATTCATGAAGGTCTGCCCTCATGACCTAATCACCTCCCAAAGGCCCCACCTCCCAATACCATCACATTGGGGGTTAGGATTTAACTTATGAATTTGGGGGAGATATAAACATTAAGTCTATAGCAGCAGCTAATGAGGGAGATAGGGAGGTTCTGACAAACTTCTACTCTTGATTCTGATCCTAATTCAAGGGATATCAAGTCCCAGCCCCTGCAGCCCAGGCTGCTGCTTTATTTTCACGTCAGTATCATCAAAATCCAATCTTCTGCTTAAACTCAAGATGGAAAGTCCAGTCTAAGGTCCACTGTTCATCTTTTTCTTCACATTTTGCACATCCTTCTTTAACCCTTCGTTATCGCACCTCAGAGAATGTGCTTTTTAAAGCTCAATACATTGAAACCAAATGATAACACAAATTCACATATAATTGGGGGTGAGCCCCATCCTCTGTAACAGACTTAGTCCTGTCTTTTCATTAGCCATGTAGTAATATAACTCCATGTTCCATGCAACTGGATTTTTGGACCCTGTTAATAGCATTAAGGTAGAGGTTCACTGTATCACCTAACAACTCAGCACTACCTGTGGGATGCCTTAGGTACCCATCACCAGGTTGCCAAGGGCTGTGTGGAAAGGGAGGGACAAAAGGACCCAGAAGAATGGGGATGGAGTGGTGAGAATGAAATGGTTAATGCACTACCATTCATAATTGCCAACTGAGGACAACACAAATGGGATTGGTATTTTCTAGTAATAAATCTGCCAGCAGAGGGAGGGATCGGGCAGCAGTGTTGAGAGCACACCACACTGGCCGGTGTAAACTCAGAAGCCAAGTTAACTGGTATCTTATGATTTGGAGTATAGTTTTTTTATAAGTTGTACACATTTTACAATGTAAAAGAAACAACATTTCTATCATAGTGAATCGGGTGGGAAGGGGATTGCTTAAAACGTTAATGTGGTTTTTTTTTTCTCTGCATAAATTGCTTGCGCATACTGGCACTTAACACAGAAATGGTACGTGCTGCTTTTTTCATGTAACAAATATTTTCCCACTATTACAGCCTGAGTAATACCCATATTAAAAGAGCCTCATTTTAGACAGACATTTACAATTTTTGGAATGTATCACATGGAGAAAGGTTGACACTTTTTTCAACTATAATGCGTATACAACTATAGTGTGTACGTACACCACATATACATATACTTGTATGGAGATATGTGTAAAATGTTTTTATTATGGATCATGGATTTAAGAAACTTGAAAAGCCAGGCACAGTGGCTCACACCTCTAATACCAGCACTTTGGGAGGCCGAGGCGGGTGGATCACGTTGGGGCCGGGGGTCAAGACCAATCTAGCAACATGATGAGATTCCCATCTCTACTAAAAATACAAAAAATTAGCCAGACGTGGTGGTGGGCACCTGTAGTCCCAGCTACTTGGGAGGCTGAGGCAGGAGATTCACTTGAACCTGGGAGGCAGAGGTTGCAGTGAGCCGAGACCGCACCACTGCACTCCAGCCTGGGCAACAGAGCAAAACTCCATCTCAAAAAAATAAAATAAAATAAATTGAAAAACACTGCCATAGTATACTTAAACTATCTTTTCATCTGTCAGATTGTTAACGATTTTTTTTATTTTAACAACATCCAGTGTCAATGAAGGTCAGGGAACAAAAGGACTTCCTTGGTGAGAATGTAAGTTGTTTAATCCTTTGGGAGGGTTAAGCTGTAGGTATCAAAATTTTAAATATATATTTATCCCCTTCCACGTTAAGGACCCTAAGAAATAGTATGTGGTATGGACGAGTGTGGTATGATGTTTGCATGTGATATTCATTACAGTATTATTTTAATAGTAGAAAATTATTAAAAAATTCATATGTCCATTAATAGGAAATTGGTTAAATAAAATGAGGCTTCCACAAACTGAAACACTCTAAATCTATATTTACATAAGAAAATTATTTTGGTAAAGTAAGTCAAAAACAGATTACAAAATAATATGTAGTGTATAACTCAAATCAAGTGAACAGTTCAGCAAAATAGTTTCTCTGAATGATGAATTTGGGGGTGATTTTTACTTGCTTATACTTTAATGTCCAAATTTTCTACAGTGCCTATAAATTTCATTTTAAAACTAAAAAGTTATTACATTTGGGGAAATACAGTGAATTCCCACATAATGTTTTAAATTATTCTGCCACTAAAAATAAATGTACATGACTTCATTAACATAGTCATTGCCTAAACCATATTTTTCACACTATGTATTCTAGGTTCCTGGAGGTGAAAGGAACCTGGACTTAGAGTTCTTGGCTACCTCTAGCTGCCCCTGAATTAGAACAGCCCATGGGGGTATGTGTATTGGGGGTGGAGGAGTGGACATGTAGATTGACTTTTTCTCAGGCATCGATCTGTTACGAGGTTCATGGTTTTTTTTTTTTTTTTTTTTTTTCAGACAGAGTCTGGCTCTGTCACCCAGGCTGGAGTGCAGTGGCGTGATCTCGGCTCACTGCAAGCTCCGCCTCCCGGGTTTACGCCATTCTCCTGCCTCAGCCTCCTGAGTAGCTGGAACTACCACCTCGCCCGGCTAGTTTTTCGTATTTTTTAGTAGAGACGGGGTTTCACCGTGTTAGCCAGGATGGTCTCGATCTCCTGACCTCGTGATCCGCCCATCTCGGCCTCCCAAAGTGCTGGGATTACAGGCTTGAGCCACCGCGCCCGGCCGAGGTTCATGGTTTCTATGGGGCCAGATGCAGGAGAGGTCAAAGCATGGGCAACAGGAGTTAACTGAATGAATTGAATGCTAGGAAGTCCTCAGGGGAGCCAAAGTTCCTTGTAAAGTGTACAGATTTTTTGTTTTTTAACTAAATAAAATCTTGGCACTGACAAAGTTATTCCTGTTTGGAGCTACACCAGAACCCCCTGGAATTCTATAGAGGGGTAGAACTAAAGCAAAAACCATCATTCACTCTACAGAGTGATTATAAATTTCATTTTCAAACAGTAAACAGTTCCTAAATTGGGGGAAATATAGTGAATTCCACATAATGTTTTAAATTATTCAGCCACTAAAAATAAATTTACATATGATTTCATTAATATATTCACTACCTAAACCATATTTTTTACACTCCGTAAAATACATTGTATATGTAGAGTGAGTGATGCTTTTTGCTTTAGTTCTCATTTTTCACATTAAGGGGAGGAAAGCTACCCATAGATAGCATTCTTGTTCCTTTTCACACGCTTCAAGGACAATTTGCAAGTTTTGACTGGATACAAATATATACACATCACTAGTGATTATGCTTTTATTTCCAACTTCTAATAGGTAACATAATTTTCAGGCACCGTTAACTGTTTTTAATCCGTCAGTAAACTGCATTAAGATTCTTAATAATAAACACAAAAGGTCTCTTTCATGTTTGTATCATCTGCATTATTTTTCTATATGCTTGTCATGTGGCTTTACTTTCAGCCTCACTCTCTCTTTTCTTCCAAATGGATTATCCTTAAACCTTTTACCTTTAAAGAGCCTGAGATTTATATTTAACTCGAACAACACATTTGCCTCTGTTGCCCCTATGTTCATGTTTTCCTAAGCCAGAGTTTCCCGTCCCTCCTGTTCCTGGCAGCCCAAGTGCCTTCCCTGGGCTACTCCCGCCTGGCCCTTGCTTTTCATTCCTTAGGGCAGTCACTTAGCACCTCCCAAAGTGCCTGTACATGTTTCCTATTTCTTAAACATTCATATTATCATTATTTACATTGAAGGAACAGAATTGGTTTGGGCTTGAAGAGAATACAAAGAGATCTGTCTTCAATTATCTGAAAGACTCCGATAGTAGTAAAGTTTCACAGGAGACAGATTTCAGTTCCACATAAGGAAAAACTTGGAAAGTTTTAATGGAAAGTTCATACAGAGATTCAGTAACCACCTGTCAGAAATTTTGTAAAGAACACACGAGGGCGTGGTGGCGGCGCCTGTAGTCCCAGCTACTCCGGAGGCTGAGGCAGGAGAATGGCGTAAACCCAGGAGGCGGAGCTTGTAGTGAGCTGAGATCCAGCCACTGCACTGCAGCCTGGGCGACAGAGCGAGACTGCGTCTCAAAAAAAAAAAGAACACATGAACACTAGCTGGGCTATGCGGCCTTTAAAATCTTCCAATCCTGAGATCCCACAACTCTGGATAACAAGGAGCAAAAGTATTAGATATTTCACTCCCATTAATATGAGGGAAGTGAATGATATTGAGGTCCAATTTGTCTGTAGTTCAGAATTAGTCCAATACAGACCCTTCGACTAACTAGGGGACAAAAAAAGCAAGCATTTCAAGTTACCTACCAGCCTGTGCTCATCAGAATATAGAAACAGCCATGTGCTAGCTGGAAGCCATTCAATGAGGCTTTCTATTAATTTCCTTTGAAAGCAATGGTTATTATTGAAACTCCTAAATGCTAAAATCTGAAGGACCCATCCTTATATCTAAGTTCTGATCATATTGAAACAGTCATTTAGCAACATTGCTCTGATGTCCAGAACCCTAGTCTGTAATGAAAGTAATGAAGGGAGGGGCTGGCAGGGCACTGCTGGGGTGGTATAGGGGACACTGCTTATATTCACAAGGCCACGTGGTCCAAGCATAGCGGAGAGCAACCACGGTGCCCTGACAAGAATCAATCGCCAGGGTCAGGGACTGGGTGGAGAAGGTGTTCATGGAAGCTGGAAGCCACTTGCATCGATGGTCACTGCAACAGGAGATCTAATAAGAGAGCCATAAAATAGGAATGATTAGGTCAGAAGGGTCTTCTAAGAAGCAGCACTGCTCTTTCAGACAGAATGGATGGGAGGAAAGGAGACACTCATCACCAAGGACCTACTCCTACAGTAACCAGAAGAAACCTGAGCCCACTTTGGATCTAGTCAGTATAGCCACAGGTTGATAATACATGTTCATGTGATTAAATAAATAATTTTAATAAATAAAACATTTGCTGGGGGAGACAAGCATGATCACATGAGGCATTTAGGGAAGGCTCCCCTGAACATTCTTTGGGTGACCCCTCTTGCCAAACAGCAAGGCAGGCAGGAATTTAAGTGAACAGAGTGGCCCAGCTGCTGCTGCTGCTCTGTGGCCCTCCCAAAGGAGCTGCAGAATGAAGAAGGGGCATAAAGGAACTCTAGATACGAAGCCTTTCTCAAGCCAGAAGGCAATCCAGAAACGGGAATACAAATGATCCAGAACCCAAAGGTTAAATTCTGTCCTGGAACAGAGGATGGGCAGACCACCAGCAACTGACTAAAAGAGGAGAGCTCAGAATGCAGACTTCTCAGTTCACCTGGAACCCAGTGTGGAAAGAAGCTAAGTGGGGTAAGTGCCAACCAAGCATCTGAGGCAGGTGGATACCGTAGTTAGGACTTCAGAAACAGCAGCCCTAGATAAACTCCAGTGTAGTTAAAAGTTTGCTTTTAATACTCTTTTCTCTTCTCCAATGCATTCTTTTCACACACCCCTTCCCAACCTAAGGCCTCATGATTCCCAAAGTCACTCACTTAAATGTTCCACGTAGGAATGCCTCCACCCCCCACCCTCAACTATCAGAGACTCCTAAATAACCTCTTTCATCAATGGCCCCAATTCCACAGCAGAATGACCCCTGCTAGGTATTAGAAGGAGTCTCATTATATAAGTCACACTAAGTTACAAATACCTAAGAATAAGCCTCTCAAAGGAGAACCTCAACTCAGAGAATGTCAGGATTTAGGAGAGTGTAACAAAAAATACACCCAAGGATGAGGTGAATCTTCTGGAGCAAGGATCTTTCAACAGGTAACCTACAAATAAAGCTGCAGGCCCTGCCCTAGCAAAGATGGTTGCTTTGGGAGAAAACATTTAAAAGGAAATTTAAAATTTTTAAAGTCCATTTTAATATGGACTTGTTTTCCCTTTCTTGATTGTCCTGTCTGTCAAAAGTGCCTCTAAGCTAATGAATTAACAGC